GGTGCGGTCCCCGCGGCACTGCCAGTGCCCGCTTTAGGGGCAGCGGGTGCTAACGCTCTTGATAGTTCGCCGTGAGGTACGGATACATGGACAAAAACCTGACAATATTTTAAAATTTACGGGATTTGCTTAATGTTACATTCTGTTTGATTTTGCAAAAGGTAGCTCTCATGAAGGTGCTGGCTGATGCCAGCATAGTTATCGATGTCATCTTACCATAAGATTGTCATCTTTCCATAGCAGAGAGTATTTCTGAGTCAGTAAGGGGATAGCTCCCTGGAGAGCCAGGCAAAGGCACTGTCCTGTTGTTGGATGTCCAGCTTGCCATTTATGCTAACGCACAGGGTTGTAAAAACGCAGGTATTGTGGTTAGGAGGGGAGGACAGGTCAGACTGGAGAGTTCCTTTGCCAGGAAAATAATTAAGATATCATTTTATCTCATCTGAAATATTCATCACCCAGACCTGATGGTGGATACAGTGACAGAATGTTTCAGATGTAGCCAAAGTGTTTTTATAATGGAAGCCTCAATATTTTTCAGGTAATGAGGCCCTCTGATACCCAAATGTGAAATATTTGTATCACTCTTGTGTTTATTTCCATTCTCATTTTCCACTTTTTTTCCTTCTCAAAGCACATAAGCTCACTGACGAGTCTTAAGAGCTTTGTCTCTTCATTTTATTACCTACTGCCAAATACACTTCTCTTATTTAAGCCCGGCACACATTTCAGCATCAGCACTGCTAGGCATAACCGGCTTGGCAAAGTTTCTTTACTGTAATTTCTGAAGGAGATTGGAGACACTTTGGTTGATTGACAGCTGCTTTGCAGTCAATCAAAAGTAGAGACATAGTTTAATTCCAGCGTCCTCTCCAGAGAAATCCTTTGAAAGCACTATTATAAAGTGGGAATAGCATGGACAACAGAAAGAAGCAGAGAACAAATGCCTCACTTGAACAGTTTCCACCCAAATGTGTGCCTTGCTCATTATTCATATGTTCAGTACAGGAGCTCTCATATCCACCTGTTATTGAGGAAGGAACTGGAAATAGCCATTGTGTTGTTGCAGGAACACTGGCATGAAGAAAGTAACAAAAAACTCTGGTAATAGTGTTAATAATTGCAGATTCCATATGAAAAAGATAGGGCAGCACTTAGTTTTCTAAGAAAGTAATTGCCTTGTACGTGTTTCTCTGTTGCAGGCCCACCATTAACTTTCCTAGGTCTAACCTCTGGTAAAATGCAAGTTTAACCCGCCTAGACGCGTGAGAAAATTCATCCTCCCAGGACAGCACTGTGACCACCTCACATCTCACTGCTTGTTCCAAGGGAGGCCACTCCTTGTTCTTCACCTTAACTTGCTACAGTGAGGCTTTTGAACGTGTCCAGCTTCGTTGTGGTTTGTTTTCACTCTGCGTTGTACCGTGCTTAACACTGATATTATAACAAAAGTGATGTTACTTTGCTTGACAGTGATTTCATTTCTGAGAGAGGTATTATTTGGTTTGTAAGATAAGAGAAAGCTGACTTATCAACACAGGCAGAGCTCTTTACTGATAATGCCAAGCTTAAAAATGAATAATGACCTTTCTGCCACTTCAGCAAATGACTAGCTGTTTGTCCAGAGAGTGTAGCTACTTTTGCAGGCCCCCCAAAAATACCAGGCAGAACACTGGACACCTGACTACCTAGTGGAGACTCCTAGGTATTGTATGCCCTCTCTTATTATGCAAGAGAGAAAATGTGCCTGTTAGGTCTTCAAAGAGGAAGCAAATGTATTTGAAACTATATTGTCATCCACATATCCAAGTTCAGGCCTTACATAATCAAAAACTGTCTGATGTTTTGGGCTTAGGCGTGTCTTGGCTCACTGGTACTGTGCTTAGCTAGCTGGTACCCTGCTTGCATTTATAATTTATTAATGGTATTTTTAATATAGCTTCTAGAGCTAGTCCCCTAGTAATGGATATTGGGCATACACAAGCTAAAACCAGCTTATAGATGTAGAAAGATTTCTGATAACACACTTTGTTCTTTCTCCCTGGTCTCTACCAAGACATTATAACATGCAAGAAGTTCTAGTGTCTTAAGACATAAGTATATACAAGCAGATCAGTTTTAAACTATAAGTAAGTTTTCAGGAGTCTAAAGTTCATAATAATTAGCACTGGGAAAATTCTGTAAAGCTTTTCACGAGTCATATTTTGATGTGCAAAGACTAATGCTTATACTAAAAGCTCTGCTAGAGATTCATTGCTTTCATTTGCACCTCTACTTGATTAATCTTTTTTCTTGGACCATCACTTTTTTCACTTTTTTTTTTTTTAGCAGTTATGGATCTTTGCTCTTAATCTAACATCTTTGATGTCCCACTTTGATTCAAAGAAATGAAAGTTGGATGGTAATGTTTGAAAAGGTGCTATTCCTGTTAAATGATGAAGTAATTTTTGTTCAGTTTGTTCAGATGGGTCTCCTTTTGGCTAATTGGTCTGATGACATGTAAAAGTGTCTAGAAGACATCACACAAGTGACAGAAAAAACATTCCCCAATTTGTTTTAGTGTTCCGATTAAACTTTTCTGAAGCTTCTCCTTTCTTCTTTTTAGAGCTGTAAACATCAGAAGGGGGCTTTATTAAATTGCTTTTACCTCAGACTACAGGGGGCTTTAATGGAAAAGGGAATAATGTTTGAAACTGTTGAGTCTTTGTTCTTTTTCTAAGGCAAGCACATTGAGAGTCCACACAGTGGGATCTTAATAATTGGGCTTATTACCTTCACAGCAGTAGAAATACCAGGGTACTTGGGTTTACTGAACTGGTAAAAAGGATACTAAGCAATTACATACATTACGTACTTGAAAAAAAGACATAACAGTATAAATATGTTATTGTCAAAAATGTTAATCAGTCCTGTAGGACATATCTATAAAGTCTGAGAAAATATTCAGACTCTATTTTGCAGACTTTCAAGTATGACAGTGACACCTGGAATCGTAGCTGCATTTCTCTGAGTACTGAGTCAATAACAGCATTCTCTGGAGCCCTTATGGATCCATCTGTGTTAAAGATAGACCATGACTAGGGCATCTTCTTCAGGACTGTGAACAAGCAGCATGGCACATCTTGCGTTAATAGAGCTGCATTTCGCCATTGCCTTTTCTTTAACCACCACCAAAAAACTCCTCAGTGCCCAGACAGGCTTTGTGCAGGCTGCCTTGTGATGGCTCTGCTGTGCCTCCATGTACACATTGCCTGGGAAAAGTTCTGACTGCCACAGGGTGAGCCGTCCTTGACAATGACCACACTTCATTTACAAGGTGGCATGTGAATATGTGTTCCACATAGCTAAGGTAACTTTTCCATAAGAGTGAGCAGGACAACGAGGATATTCACAGTGTATGTTGCCATATGTGTATGCCAAGGAAGGTAAGTTCCACTTTTCTTTAAAAAAAAAATATTTAAGAACTGCAGTTAATGCTGCTATGAAATCAAACAGAGCATATCCTTTATTGCCTTGATTTTTCTGTTTCTCTCCTTGAAATGAATGCTTCATTTATTGCCTTCTAAATTAAACAGTTGTCAAGATACCATGGTATTCTCTGTGGACTCTGTTATAATCACAACTGATAAAGCTGAAATTCTCTGGTCTAGCCTCTGGGAGGAGATGGTTGTGGTTTTTCGCACTAGTCTGTCCATGTTCTGTGAGTACTCTCATTTCTTCCTGCTTTTATTGTTTCTTCTTCAACAATCATTAGTGTTGGGCAAGGAAAACATGCAGTCTTGAGAGTTCTCTGTGCCAGGCTTTCTGCCTGGCTGGCTTTCCTTGCTGTTGCTACATGATCACAAAATGCTGTTGCAGCACTCTGCTCTTCAATAGTACAGTATTCACTGACACTGCACTTTCTAGTACAAGCCGTAAAATCAAAGTAGATATTGTGAACAAGTTGATTTTCTGTTTGTTCATTTCTTCTATCATCTATCAACTGATCTCCTGAAACATTTAAGGTCCTCCAAACCTGGCTTTGGTAATTTCTGTTGTTTTGCCATGTAACCAGACATTTTTTTAAAAAACTTTTTATGAAATGGAAGAAATCTGCAATAATTAGTAAGTTTAATGCTAGAAAGTTTTGTAAAGTTTCTATGGTTACCTCAGTGTCTTATCTGCTAATTTATTAGGAGTCAGGCTGAACAGAGAGTTCTTTTCATCCTTAATTCAGTGAAGTTGGCATCTTTCTCATCCTTTAAGTCATTAGCTATTACATGCTTCCAGCATATTTGCTCTGGCCCTGTGCTATGCAAATAAGAAAAGCAGTTTTCCCCTAAGTTTTTACCCTTTTTGTACTATTATGATGGCTTATAAATGGTTCCAGTGTTGTGGTTGTACCCTAATTTTTGTAGGCTCACACAGTTATGCTTCATACACCTGTGCAGATCTTGGTGCTGAAGTGCTGGGTCTTTGCCCTGTTCTCACCAGACTGTAGGGAAATTGTTCTGAGAATCAAAACTGAGTGGAGCTATGCTATAGCTACAGACTTTATTTTACCTCAAAGTACTATTTACTTTGCCTAGGAGTCCAATGCATGAAAATCCAGATTATTAAAGAGGGTTTAGGGAAGCCGCACGGGCCATGGTTATAGGTGGTACAAGTGTGAAACTAGACCGGGTAGTTTAACATCTTGCAGCACTATAGTGTTTTCCTGTGGAGAAGAGAAGAAACAGAAACATGCCTCTGAGTGTTTGCTATTGAAAGATCATGAAATAGATATTTGTTTTTCCAGAGGAGCCATTCAGGTGTAGCTACATACTCCTTCACTGAAGTGTACGGAAAATTTACATCACCCTCTTAGATGAAGATAAGGACCTACAACTGGAAAATTAACAACACGGCTGAATTTGTTATCATACTTATTAAGGCATCAGCTTCTCTATACTAGAAGTCTCAATACGTTTGTTCTAAAACCAGTGTAGAGTTTGTGAAATAACCTCCTCTAATTGTAATCTAGACAATGCCAGGAAAGTGAAGCTAATTCCAGTAAACTGAATTATAAAGTCATCTAACATGACAGTATATACCATGAGGTAAAAGTGCTTGGATGCAAACTGGTGACAAGGGAAATATTATGTGGCGAGATCATGCCTGTTTTTTTCCTTCTTTCAGCCAAAAATATTAGAAGCTCATCTGAAAAATCATTTTAATTTGATATACTGATGTGGTGATGACAACTTGTAGAACATTTAATTCTCAGGAAGCAAATTTTGTAAGAGCAAAGCCCAAAATCTCCGGTGATAGAGTATTAATCAGTATTATATAAATAATATATAAATTATATAATATAAACATATATAAATAGGTATTAATTTCATAATTTTATTTAATTTTGGTACCTAAAAATCTGAAGGTGATTAGTTAATGTCTCTGGGCCATGCTTTCACTATATTTTAGGTCCATTTTATATAAGTAGTGAATAAATATTCTTCTATTAGACAGTGTACAAAGGAAGTTAACCTCTTTGGTCGGTTGAGAACCTAGCAATTGGTTATATGCATGATACATGAAATGCAGATAAACTGTAAGAGAGAAAGCCTTGTTGGCTTTTAAAATATGGAAAAGTTGATGACATTTTTCCCTTTTTACTTCAGTATTTTCATCTCAGAAATTACTAGCTGTAGTGGGGAGGGCTTTCTTCACCTGTCTATGATTAATTAATTAGTTTTATATCATAATTTTAAATATTTTCCAATCCCCAGGAGCCCAGCCTGGCCTACTTGTGGGTGTGAGAAATAATGATATTGTCCATGTTTGTGCCTGAATGTATTAGAACCTATAAAACAAAACACTTTTCTGTTATTTGTTAATCTCATCAAGTCTTCTGTGGATCCTAAACTGTTATCTGCCTCAGTGTCCAAAAAAAACAGAGCATGCATGGAAGCAAATATGTATGTGTTATACAATATTGTCAATTATATGATCACATGATATTTTTTCTCACAGCGTTTAGTCTTTATTCACTTCAGATAGTCAACTGTCACCATTCACTTCTCTGCTTCTTGACCATTACCCCCATCCTCCACCCAAATTCATCTTTTCTCTTGTCCATAAGTCCCTTAATCTTCTGCTGACTCCTTAGTGTGTTATGGCAAAGAAATTGTGGGGAAATTGCTTCTAATCTTCTAAGAAGTTTCTATGGGACAAGGCGGAAATGAAGGGTTCCAAAAGCTTTGTAATTTTTCCTGATTCAAAAGATTGTAAAAAGGATGGTTTTAACTTTACAGTCAGCTCCTCCTCTCAGTTCCCCTGTTTTAGGTTCTCCTCCAAAGTGAAGAAAAAATTAAGTCTTCTGACCGAAGGATTTTCAGATATTTTTAAATGAGAAAGTCAACATATGGTATCCTAAACTGCATAAAGATTAATGAAGGTAAAAGTAATGGAAACGAGTTGTTATACTAGTAAATATTGCAGAATTGTCACTGTAGGCTACCCTGGCCTATCAGCAGTAACACACCCAGTGCCTCCTAGCAGTGTAACGGTGGGGACCTGGGTGCTTTCCCCTGGCTTGCAGGACTGTTTGGCTCAGCAAATGTTCCACTGCTGTAAGGCAGTTTATTTTGAATGTTTCACCAGATGGCATTTCTACTACTTTCCTGGAGAGAGTATGCTTTAGTCTTAGAAATAATGAATATTCAAGCTGAAATCTGCCCAAATACTTTTTCAAGGCCATATATCTGGGCCATATATCAAAGTCTTTTTGTCTACATGCACTTCAGTTACATGTTTTTTTCTTGCCTTATTCTCAAGGTACACTGAATATCTGAATGTGCTGGAATTTAATTCTGTTCTTGTTTCACCTCATTATGACATTCACATTCCTTCAAATCTTCCTTTCAAAATAATTTTTTTCAGCTGTCTTCAGCTCAGGACTCTTTCAATCATGCTATTGGTGGACAGGCATGTTTCAGGCACTTACCTGTGCACTAAGCTACCCCTGCTGCCTGTAAAATCATGCTCCAAGGAAAGCAAAGACTGCGAGACACTCCTGCTTCTCAGCAATGAATTTATGGCGACAGCACCTGCTGCAGACCATACCTGAGATCTGCTTCTTAATTGGGCACTCTGGAACCATTAAAAGAGTGGTGAATGCTAAGAGGCAGCATAGGTTCAAAAGCAAATTGCTGGTCATCATAGAAGAAAAAGCCACCTAAGTCTGTGAAATACAGTGGCTGGCGGACACATGCTGGTCTAGGGAGTCCTGAGACAAATGATGCTTAGTGGTAGTTGTAAGAGTCGGTCAGAAGATCAGCATTGTCTCAACATTGTCATCAGGGACATGGACAGTGAGGTACCCGACAATGGCCTGCTTGGCCTTGCTGATCCCTGGAGTGGAATGTGGTGCCAAGGCTCCTGAATGCAGAGCTGTGTGGCACAGCGAGTGTTGGGCTGTTCTCCCGAGCACTGACCCGTGTGGTGCAGGGAGTGCTGGGCTGTTCTGCAGTGCCTGAGCCGTGCAGTACAAAGAGTGCTGGGCTATTGTTTGGTGCCTGGGCCTAGCCAGAGCTGTTAGAGATAACTGCATAGCCACTGTCAAAAAAGATGGATTGGAACTGTTGCCATAACATCGATGAAGAAATCATGAACCTTAGACAAACTTTGTTTAATTATAATACCAAAACACACCTCCTGGTGGAAGGCTACCTGACTCCAAGACTGACCACACCTCGGACGCCCCTCCCTGCGCATGTGCGATGGCCTCGCTCGAGAAGGGCAGAGACCCCTGAGGCAGAGGTGGAGCAAGGTGTGTTACTGAGCATAAAAGGATGACTTCTGGACAACGAAAATTGGGAGCTTCCCCACCAAGGACCACGACGATCGACAAAGCATCAGCTGGATCCGGGACCATTAGGACGTCGTGAGATCAGCAGTGGTAGCTATAACCTCTCTCTCTCCCCTCTCTCTAAAACTTTTCTCCTTTCTTCCACCCGTCTCTATCGCATGCCGCTTCACGGGCAACACAACAAAGTTTCACTGTTTTATTACTGCTGTCCCCTTTGGTGTTGGTCACCTTAATTTTGCACTTTTGAGATCATAGCAAATGAACCATCATGAGTCCACTGAGTGGACCGTGACAGTAGTGTAAATGCAAAAAAAAGCCCTTCGGGGTATTATGAAAAGTTTGCATTTTTTGTTGTCTTTCAAACATGAATTTCAAATTTTCCACTCATTAATCTCTTTTGATAATAAGTCATTTGTAAGAAGATAGGTAAAGTAATTCCTTACTTATGCTTTCCCTGTCTTCACCATTTCTTTGTTGAATTATATTTAAAGGCACTATTTGGCTATTTACTATCACAAATGTAAGTTATTTTGAAATAATTCTACTCTGCCCTTGAGGGGAGAGAAGCCTCACAGCACATGCTTTATTATGTCTTTGATCATATCAGATTTTGCTGTGCCTCATTGCTTTATGACATATTTTCCCTTACTCTTCTTTGTCCCCCACTGCTATCTTGCAGTGTTTTATAGTTAATACTAGCTACTCTTTAGTTCACTCCAGGCACTTTTTTGTTCCAGTTGCTCATAATTTTACTACTTTCAGTAACTAGCCCATAGGCTTCTTTACCATGTGTGCTCAGTCAGTATTATTCTTTTTTTAGCATTATCAAGTTCTGTATCCTTACTGTAGTTTTCTAGCTCACTGGTATATTA